TATAAACTTTAAAAAATTAATTTGAAAATAATCTTTGTTTATCAATTATCAAGTTTTACAAGTTATGTCCATAATTTCGGTTATCAAATTTAGGTTTCGGTTATCAAATTATAATTTTGGTTATTAATTTATGTTCTTATAATCTAAACTATTAAAGAGACATAACTTAGTTTTGATTATAAAAATTTCAGTTATAAGATATAACTCTTAGGTTTCGGGATCCATCTTTACCAACAAGACTATAACAATAGAGGGTTCAGATACAAACTAATCAATGAAGAGCTTCCCACCAAGGACAAGCTAAATAAGAGAAGGCCAGATATATACAAGGATAAAATATGCTCTTGATATAACAGATGGAAAACCACAGAACACGTGTTTAGTGAACACTACAAGGAAGAGATTAAAACTATATACCTACAAATACTAAAAGAAGAAATAGCAAGTAGGATAGAAACACAAGAAAGAAGAAGGAATTGGAGGGAACAACTTGAATTCATTATTAACAACTTAGAAAGAACCATCAGATATATAATCAAGAAAATCTACGAAAAGGACCTCATTAAGCTGGTGAGACAAATTAATGAGGAAAAATTAAAGATACATTAAGAACAGTTACAAATAGAATAACAGAGGAACTCTGAAAACTCTGGATCCATAGATGCAATAGATTTTAGTAATGGGAAAAAGAAAAAAACATAAGCAGAAGAGAAAAAAGGAAAAAAAAACGAAGACTCCAAGTTGATACCCAAGCCATACATACAAGGCAATATAGGTCACTACTCGAAAGAATAAAAAAAACAAGAAGACTATAAGAAAAACTCTTAAAGAACTGGCTTGACCAGAGAAAAAACATAATCAATTTCAATTTCTTTTATTATTTATACAATAATAACATTAACAGAGCCCTGGCACATTAGTCTTGATATACGCCACAAGGTAAGTCAATAGCAACAAGCTGATATGTAGTTAAATCGATATAGCAAAACATGTATCTAAAATAGTTTATAGATAGTAAGTCTTGTAACAAGAAATATATATGTAAACTAAATAAAGTATGTTGGACAAGGCCTTGCTAGTTGAAAAAAATATATATACGTATATATATTTTAATAATTTAAATATATACTGTATATAACTTAAATATTTTAAAAATAATAAAAAAACTTTTTATTTGAGATTTTTTTTTTTTTGGTTAATCTTTGTTAAATATTTGATTATAATAAAAAAATTTACTTTTTTAAAATTGAAAAAGAAAACAAAAAAAAATTTGCAAAATTATAACTAGCCAGGTGTTAAAGACAGTTTATAAGTTTTTTATATTAGAAATAAAAAAATTTGATAAATATCATTTTGAAAAGTGGTTAGAAAAATTAACACAGAGTTCTTTAATATTTTGTTTTATAAATAAATATATATTTATTTACAATTCATTTTTTACATAATGTAATTTCTAAAATAATAACATTTTTATCGTTATATAAAACAATCTGATTCTTGAATTAAACAACAATAAAACATATAACAAATAAACTCAAAAAAATGTTCCATGATTTATAAAAATTTTTATATATACATGGTCCTGATACTGAAGTTATTATTGTAGTTGGAATTTGAGAATAACTACTTGTTGGTGATGGTGGTGGTGTATACGTTTCTATTTTTTTCACAGTACTTGGAGGAACATAAGTTTGAATAGTAGGTCCCGTAAATGAAGATGATGATGTATAATATTCGGTTACAATTATATATGATGATACCACTAGCGTTATTGTCCTTTCACTATAAAAAACAACAAACAGTTATAGTAAAAAACAATAGTAAGTTTTAATGTTAATATCCCTTACTTTGAATTACTACTACAAGTTTCACAAAACGTCGAAGTCGCAACAGCAGATGAGGTGGTAGTTGTAAGGCACCTTCCCGCACTACCCGTCGTGCATATAGTCGAAACGTTTCCCTGACGTCGCTCATACTTTAAAGGCTTCATTAGTTTAGCCTGACTTTTAGGCGTAAGCACATAAATAATAATGAACAGGGCAATTAATAAGAAATTCTTTGATGGAGGATTGAAATTCGCCATTTCTATACTAAAAGAAGAATTTAGAACCTTCCAAGAATTTGAGATAGAATCTATTCTTTATAGTTTAAAAATATTCTATTTTGGTATTACGAGAGCTATTTATGTTAATGCTATTTTATAAAGTGCCATAGATGCACGAAGTTTAAATATAATATTTATGGCTGCGATAGTTTATTTCCTGGTAAAAATTTATTTACATGCATACTGTAATCGGAAACGTTTCGTTTTGTTAACGGTCAGATCTCATCTAAAAAAATAAGTAGAATTCTAATGTTTAATATTCTAAATATAGATTTTATTGATTAAAAAGAAAGACCTATTTTTTTTTTCTTTACCAATTTTTTTAAAATTTCAAATCATAAAAACAAAAGAAATTAACAAATATAAAAAAATATGATACAAAAAATCAAATAAAAAAATCGATTGAATATATTTAGAAATATAAAAATTTTAATTAATCAATTATAAAGAATAAATAAAATAATATAGCTGAAAAAAATCTATATAATTAATTAATAAGATTATATATGAATTTAGATATTTTTCAAAAACTATATTATAATAAAATTATTAGGTAATACAGTAGAACCTCCATATATTAATGCACTATAAATTAATAATTATTTTATTTTTTAAAGTTATTATACAATTTGTTTTTATATTTTAATAATCTTCTTAATTTTATAAATTTTGAAAAAAATATTATAATTTAAAATTATTAATTTATAAAAATTCTATTATATTGTTAATATTTCTTTGATAAGTCAGACATTTTGTAACATTTAATGTGTGGGGACATTATAATGTTAGGATTAATAAAGGAAAACTTTATTAAATATGAGAGAAAC